GTGCCCTGGGATAGGGTGCCTCCTGCCCAACTGGGGAAATTCAAGGCATAGACCTCAAAGGCTTCGTGTTTCAGACAGAACCCTATTTAAGTATATCATTTCCTAAGGGCAGGGCATTTAACACCTGAAAACTAATTTTCCTTTGGTTTTTACTTTTTTTCTTTTTACAACTTACTTTTCCCAAATGTATGTGTTTATTCTTGTATCTTGAAATTAATGAATTACAACTTGTATCATTTTCATGTGCAGTGATAAGTTCAGTTACATTTTTTCTTACACATTTAAAAAAATAACTTTATTGAGACGTAATTCACATACCATACAATTCACTCATTTAAATTGTAAGGTGAATGTTTTTCAGTATATTAGAGGATTGTGACACCATCAATACAATCTAGTTTTAGAGCATTTTCATCCTCTCCTCCCAAAAAGAAAGCCCTGTATCCACTGAGTCACTCATCCTCCTCTCATTCCTCTGCCCCAGCCCCGGGCAACCACTAATCTACTTTCTCTCTGTATAGATTTGCCTATTCTGGAATGTGATATTATTATAGGTATATAGGTTTTTGTCCATGATTCCTGGTTATAACTCTCATAGCTCTTGTTATTTCCTAAGTGACTAAAATAAGCTTGTATTTTGTTAAAGTATTTATCCTTGGTTCCTGAAGTAGCTTCCAAACAGCTTCAGAGTGATAAAGGTGAAAGACAGTCTTTCGTTATAATGTTGGGGTGCTTTAGGCCCCAGAAGCAGGCCTGTGGCACTCCTTTCACCTGCTGCTTTTTCTCCCCGAGGGAGGCCATAGAAACTAAAAATATACTCTAATATTCCCCTACTGTTCTGTCTTGGAGCCGGCCATAAAGAAATTCTCTGACCTACCTTGTCTGATTGTAGGTCACAAGACACCCACTTCAGGAGTCCTGCCTCACACGCACAGGAAGGAATCCTGCACAGAGAGACCAAGAAGAATCTGAACAAACAGGCCTGGCTGGGTTTCCCCACTCAGTCTGTTGGTATTAGATCATACCCTTTTTGTCTGATCACATATCTACGTGGTTATCTATGCTTCAGTCATGTGTATCCAAAGAAGTCTCCATAAAAGGCCCAAGATAATGGGGTACAGAGAGCTTCTGGATAGCTGAACATGTGGAGACTCCTGGAGGGTGGGATGCCTGGGGAGGGTATGGAAACTCCGTATCCCATCCTACACCTTGACCTGTGCAACTCTTAATCCACATCCTATGTTATATTCTTTGAAAAAAACAGTAGATGTAAGTAAGTATTTCCCTGAGTTCTTAGAAATTTATTGAACCAAAGGAGGGGGTCATGAGATCTCCAGTTTCTAGCTGGTTGGCCAGAAGTACAAGTAAGACAACTGGGGGCTTGCTATTACATTGGAAATAGGGGGCAGCCTTGTGGGATTGAGCTCTTGACCTGTGGTATCTGATGCCATCTCCAGGTAGGTAGCAGCAGACTTGAATTGCTTATTGGTAGGGAGAATTCCTCATACATTTAGTCACAGAAATCTTCTGTGTTGATTGTTGTGTGAGAGCAGAGGAATAGACTCATAATGTCTTTTGCATCTGCTTCTTTTTACTGAGCATAATGTTTTCAGGGTTCCTCCAGGTGGAGCATGCGCCAGCACTTCTTAATTTTCATTGCAGAATGCTATTATATTCTATAGATATAACATGTTTTGCTTATCCATTCATCAGTGATGGACATTTGAGTTGTTTCTACTATTTGACTTTTACCAATAATGCTGCTATGGGCATTTGTGTACAAGTTGTTTGTGGACGTACATTTTCATTTATCTTGATTATGTATCTAGGAGTGGAATTGCTGAGTTATATGGTAACTTTATGTGTTTATTGGCTATTAGTATATCTTATTTGGAGAAATGTCTATTCAAATCCTTTGCCTACTTTTTGATGGAGTTGTTTTTTTTACTGTTGCATTATAAGAGTTCTTTATATATTCTGTATGTAAGTTCCTTATCAGATAATTGCAAATATTTTCTCCCATCTATATCATTTCTTTCTTAATAAGTTATTTGAAGCACAAAAGTTTTTTATTTTTTATTTTTTTTGCTTATTTTGAGACAGAGTCTCACTCTGTCAACCAGGCTGGAGTGTGGTGGTGTGATCTCAGCTCACTGCATCCTCTGCCTCTTGGGTTCAAGGAATTCTCCTGCCTCAGCCTCCCGAGCAGCTGGGACTACAGGCGTGTATGACCACGCCCAGCTAATTTTTGTATTTTTAGTAGAAATGGGGTTTTGCCATGTTGGCTAGACTGGTCTCGAATTCCTGACCTCAAGTTATCCACCTGCCTCAGCCTCCTAAAATGCTGAGATTACAGGCGTGAGCTACCGCTCCTGGCCAAGTTTTTTATTTTGATGAAATCCAATTTGTGGGTTTTATTTTGTTGTTTATACTGGTGGTGTCATAACTAAGAATCCATTGCTTGAACCAAGGTCACAAAGATTTACTTCATGGAAGTTATAAAACTTCTAAGTATCTTATAGTTTTATCTCTTACACTCAAGACTTTGATCAATTTTGAATTTTGTATATGACTGTGTGACTTCATTCTTCTTTACACGTGGAGCTCTAGTTTTCCCAGCACCTTCATTTGAAAAGACTGTTCTTTTCCTCACCGAATGGAGTTGGCACCCATTTAAATAGAAATATTCTTTTAAACCAAGTTTGTCCAACCTCCAGCCCATGTGGCCCAGGACAGTTTTGAATGTGGCCCAACACAAGTTCGCAATCTTTGTTAAAACATTATGGATGTTTTTGCAATTTTTTTTTTGTAAGCTCATCAGTTGTCGTTAGTGTTAGTGTATTTTATGTGTGGCCCAAGACAATTCTTCCAGTGTTGCCCGGGGAAGCCAAAATATTGGACATTCCTGTTTTAAACCAAAATTCAAAACACTTAGATATTTTGGACAGCTCAGAGGCGCTTTCAGAAAAAGCGTTTTAAACAATTGAATGTCTCTACCAAATAACATACTATTCTTAAAGTTGACTTAGTATCAGTTACAGAATTCTAAGTTGAATTTCAAGACCTAATGTTGACTGGCCTGCAGTTTTCCTTCTTCTTGTATTTAATATATTTTGTTTGTTTTTTATTTTTTTAGAGATAGGGTCTCGCTCTGTCACCCAGGCTGGAGTGGAGTGGCACGATCATAGCTCACTGAAGCCTGACCTCCTGGGCTCAGGCGATCCTTCCACCTCATCCTCCTGGGTAGCTGGGACTACAGACATGTGCCACCATACCCTGATAGCTTTTAAATTTTTTGTGGAGACGTGGTTTCACTACCAGGCTGGTCTCAAACTCCTGGCCTCAAACAGTCCTTAAGCCTTGGCATCCCAAAGTGCTAGGATTATAGGCATGAACCACTGTGCTTGGCTTTTAATATCTTCTTATGCCATTTTATGTAAGAGAGAAAGGTGAAGAATGGGTATTTACCAGAATTGGAAATTTGCGTTAGTGTTGGCTCTGTGGGTCTGTCAGAGTGTGGACAGCAAACAGCTGTCCTGGCTGTTCCTGGGTGGAGTTGGGGATGTTGAGCCATCTGCTGAAGGGCACCTCTTCCCATGAGTCATCTTAAAGAAAGTTTAAAAATCTCAGCTGGGCATGATGGCTCATGCCTATAATATCAGCACTTTGGGAGGCCGAGGCAGGCAGATCACAAGGTCAGGAGTTTGAGACCAGCCTGGCCAACATAGTGAAACCCTGTCTCTACTAAAAATACAAAAATTCGCCAGGTGTGGTAGCACGCACCTGTAGTCCTAGCTACTCGGGAGGCTGAGGCAGGGGAATTGCTTGAACCCGGGATGGGGAGGTTGCAGTGAGCCGAGATCACGCCACTGTACTCCAGCCTGGACTACAGAGCGAGACTCCATATCAAAAAAAAAAAAATCTAGCTGTCCTGGCAGCTCTGCTGGGCAGCACTTAACTGTTTGTCAGATTCAGTGATTGTGGATAGCAAAATGTCATGATTTACTTAAACAGGATCATGTTGAAGGGGGCACTTTGGGAAGAACAGATGAAATGGGTGTTTTACAGTTGTCAGTTCGGTGCCTGTTAATTGGGCTGTTGCAGCAACTGAATACTGATAGTTAATGAGGTGATGCTATTGTTTTCTGGGAGAAACCCAACCCAGAGGCAATTGGATGTTTAATGTTGCCTAGATAATGACATTAAAGGAAAAAAATGAGCATTTTCCTTTGAGCCTGAGAAATTAAAAAAAAAAAAAATAGCATAAAACGAAGCAACAGTAGTATTTTTGCTGTCAATGTTAGGGCTCTTTGTTTCCCTTAAATATATCAGTGGAAAAAGTTGGAGTGTAGTTGGAGGTAGGAAGAACTACTGAATTAACTTAAAACTTTTGATTTTTAAAGTAAAAACCCAGGAGTAAAAATTGCATTCCCTAATTATATCCAGAATATATTGCTTGTTTACCTTTAATTTGTAAGGAGCAAGTTTTTGTTTGTGTTGTTTGTTTTTAAAGAATATGTTCTGCTGTTTCCTCTTGCTGACCTATCTCTTCTCAGTGGAACAGGCCAGAGATGAATGCAGGACACTCTGAGCCCTCTCTCGGTGTCCCTAATGTGTATCCTGAGCATATTTGGGCCAAGAGGAAGGTTCCAATAAATAATATAGAAGATATTTTATGTAACAATTCACACTATGTTTCAGAGCTTGGATTTCCTTCGGGTAGGTGTGGACACGGGGTCTAGTTCCAACTTTACAACCCGGGAGCCTGCTTTGAGACAAATTCATGAGCAACCATGTAGGCCAGCAAGCACCTTTCTTCCCACAGGTAGCGTCCTTGTGAACTTTCCTCTTGGATCCTGACTCTGCTGCTAGTAGCCTGTGACCTTGGATGAAATGTAAGGGAATGGAAACTGAAGCTATCTGTAAAGTGAAAGAGCTGATGCCTGCCTTACAGGGAACCTCTGGGTTTATGCATGAGTCAGATGTGTGGAGTTACTCACCATGGAGGACCCAGGGCAGGCAGGCATTATTGAACTGCTCCATGTGCTCTTTTCAATCTTTGCAGGGCCCACCCACGTCTCCCTTGCTCAGACCTGGCTCCCCATGGCTTATGAAAGGGGGCTGAGTGCAGGAGGTGGTGGGTGGGACACTGGACATCCCTCTGTGGCTTTTCCTTACCCTTCCTAGTACCATGAGATTCTGGCTCTTCCCATCTCTGTTTCCGCCTGTGGGTCCTGCCACATGCAGTGCCTCCTCTTCCCTCCTTCCCATCCATGTCCTTTTACCCTGAGACGCACCCACCTGGAAGGAGCCCATCCTTTCACAGGTCTGCTGGATATTCTGCGCCTCTAAAGTACTCAGTGTTTCCTCTGCAATCTTTTCTCTGTTGTTTTCCCTCTGCTCAAGGGTGAATTGAGAGTAAGGAAAGTATTTTTCTAATTTCTTTGTATGTTCCGTAATATCGTAAGTACAGCAGGTACTCAGTAATTTCTGGACAGATTAGAAATGTTTTTCTTATTCTGCAATTAATCCTAATTCTAAATCCTTGTTGCCTTTTTTCTAATTGTTTTATATATATAATATGTAAATTTAAAGAACATGGTATATTTTATCATCTCAGCCCTTAAACTAGATTTTTTTTTTTTAATTTATTTTTTTTTGAGACAGAGCCTCACTCTGTTGCCAGGCTGGAATACAGTGGTGCAATCTCAGTTCACTGCAGCCTCCGCCTACCGGGTTCAAGCAGTTTTCCTGCCTCAGCCTCCCAAGTAGCTGGGTCTACAGGCGTGCACCACCACACCCAACTAATTTTTGTATTTTTAGTAGAGATGTAGTTTCACCATGTTGGCCAGAATGGTCTCGATCTCCTGACCTCATGATCCACCCGCCTCGGCCTCCCAAAGTGCTGGGATTACAAGCGTGAGCCACTGAGTCTGGCCAAGATTTAAATTTTTAAGTGAAGATGGTAATATTTGCAACTGTACACTAACCTTCCTTGGGCTAGCACAGGCATCCTGTATTAGTCGGTGCAAGAGTGTGTGTGAGTTTCACACAGTCACGGCTCTGCTGTGCTCTCAGGCACATGAACTGGTGGCACTGAGCAGGTAGTATTCTTGTGAATGTATTTATAGGCCAGGGTCTTTCTCCTCAACAGTTAAGAGTTGAACAAGTTTTGTTTTTTTGTTTTTTGTTTTTTTCTAGTAGCTTTTTTAAAAAAATTATCCTTTCTCTAGAGCATCAGGATCTAGTAGCCTTGTCTTAAATGCTCATTTTTAAAATCTTTCTTTCTTTTCTTTTTTTTTTTTTTTTTTATACAGGCAGTTGTGAAAAACTTCAGGACAAAAATGTTTCATTTAAGGACTTGTGCTGCTAAGTTGAGGCCGTTGACGGCTTCCCAGACTGTTAAGACATTTTCACAAAACAGACCAGCAGCAGCTAGGACATTTCAACAGATTCGGTGCTATTCTGCACCTGTTGCTGCTGAGCCCTTTCTCAGTGGGACTAGTTCGAACTATGTGGAGGAGATGTACTGTGCTTGGCTGGAAAACCCCAAAAGTGTACATAAGGTAAGGCTCGCAGGGCCGTGGGTCTACCTCATGTTGGTGCGTTGGCCTGTTCCTGACTGGTCACCAGGTAAGTGTGTGCGTCCTGAGGAGTCAGCGGGCAGGCAGGCAACTGAAGCGCCGTACCAACCACCACATCTGTATCGGACCCAGCATGGCCCCGGCAGAAGCCATGGTCCCTGGATTGGCGTCCAGCGGTAGACATTGCACTTAACTCTGCGAGGATGTGAAGAAGCATGTGTGTGACCCTCCAGAATCTCCGCAAGGGCTGCTTCAGGATGAAGCCTCTGAAGAAAGAAGAAAAAAAGAAAGAACGTGTGTGGAAAAGAGCAGGACCTTAGGAAGCTCCTCCATTCTGTCTGGAGAGGATACTTTCATATGTAACATGCCTTAGTCACCTCATGTAATTTCTGTATGAATGGCCTTTTAGATCATTATGTTCCTATTTTTTTCCTGTTTGTTTCTAACTTCTCTGTATTACATATAAGGGCATTTTCTAAACTTTTCACCACATGATTGCTGATGTAAGTCATGTCTTGTTTTTTTTGTTTGTTTTGTTTTTGTTTTTGTTTGTTTTGTTTTGTTTGAGACAGAGTCCCACTGTTGTCCAGGCTGGAGTGCAGTGGATCTCAGCTTGCTGCAACCTCCGCCTCCTGGGTTCAAGAGATTCTTGTGCCTCAGCCTCCCGAGTAGCTGGGACTACAGGCACACGTCACCGCGCCTGACTAGTTTTTGTATTTTTAGTAGAGATGGGATTTTACTCTCTTGGCCAGGCTGGTCTCGAACCCCTGGCCTTAAGTGGTCCACCCATCTTGGCCTCCCAAAGTACTGGGATTACAGGCATAATCCACCATGCCTGGCCAAGTCATGCCTTGTGACAGAATTCCTTTATTCTATTTTGAGCCAGTGAATATTTATAGGTTTTGCTAACCATTCCTTGATTTTCAGGGAAAGCAGCCAGCCTCCTGAAGGAATTGGGAAAGCAGCATAGTATAGTAATAAGAGGGTGGGTCCCAGCGTTTCTGAGCTCCTGTGCCTCATCTGTAAGAGGTTGGGAGAATGAAAGGAGGTAGCATGAGCAAGGCACTCAGCTTGGAGGCCGTGCCTAGCCAACATTGCTTATCTTCACTGTGAATTTGGCTTTTTTTCCTACTCTTGAATCTTGGCGGCTTATCGCCAAAAGGTAGTCTGCTTCCACTGGGCTCCTGTTAACAAGCTTTCCCTTTAAGTATTAGTGACACTTAGGAATTGTTTTTTTTAAATTTAGCTAGGTGTGGTGGCACATGCCTGCAGTTCCAGCTACTCCACAGGCCGAGGCGGGAGGATTGCTGAAGCCCAGAAATTCGAGGTTACGGTGTGCTATGATGGTGCCACTGTACTCCATCCTGGGCAACAGAGGGAGAGCCTGTCTCTAAAATTAAAAAAAAAAAAAAAAAGGTGCAGGGGGGCGTATATTCCTGTGACTGCTGGGCCACCAGGTCCCATTTTTTCAGGAATGCCGCTTTGTCTCAGCCTTATTGCCCAGCAGTGGTGGGACTCTAACCCAATCCTTCCCCGTTTCCATGGCAACCTAGGAGCAGCATTGCTTCCTGGGCAAGGTGAGACCTGGTTTTCTGTAAGAAATCTGTAGTTTATTTCCCTAGTCTGTAAACAAATTACCCAAAAGAAGTGCTGTGTGAAACTGGCCCCTGCTTTTAATGTCATGGATGTTACTGAAGACTGTGGTTGCAGATTGTGGCAGATTTCACACACACACACACACACACACACACACACGACTACAGCTGTAGATTATATCTAGAATAAAACTGAGCCCTGAGGTTTCAGAATCAAGGACTGTTATGTGCACAGGCCTATTCTTTTACCTTCCTTTTCTCAAACATAACCTTTTCTTGGAACCAACCAAGTTGTTTTCAGTGATGTTAGGATTTGGAGTCAGTAGCTCCTAAATGACAGTGCCTAGTGTCTGAAAGGTGAAGAGCACCTGGCTGAGACTGCATGTCCTTGTGAAGGTTTGGTCCTCAATGATTCGTGGGTAAGAGGTGCACTCTGTGAGCGGTGTGGCCACAGTGGACACTGGGCCTGCTGCCATCATAGCTGCTCCTGCTGGAAGCCTTTGAAGATGGTTTTTGTAGGGGCATGCTGGCTTTATGTCTTTATGCCTGTTTCTGTTGCCAGGAATCTCCAGGGGGCACCGTGTGGTACTCACATGCATGCTCTACTCCTCCCTGCTTGTAGAGGGGAGGGGACAGGATGGTTAAATCAGTGGGCGTGCCCTCCAGCAATCCCGGTTGTCATCTGGCAGGGACTTCACTCCTCTGCCATCCCAGACGACAAGGTGGGTCCTCTTTAAGTTGAATTAGGCCCAGTATGTGGTGTGTGCATGTTTTTCTTTCTTTTTCTTTTCCTTTTTTTTTTTTTTTTTTGATACGGAGTCTCACTCTGTCACTCAGGCTGGAGGGCAGTGGTGCGATCTCGGCTCACTGCAACCTCTGCCTCCCAGGCTCAAGTGATTCTCCTGCCTTTAGCCTCCTGAGTAGCTGAGATTACAGGCCTGTGCCACCACGCCTGGCTAATTTTTGTATTTTTAATAGAGACGGGATTTCACCATGTTAGTCAGGCTGGTCTTGAACTGCTGACCTCATGATCCACCTGCCTTGGCCTCCCAAAGTGCAGGCGTGAACCACAGAGCCTGGCTGTGTGCATGTTTTTCAAGGGAGATAATCCATAACTTCTGTCCAATTTTCAAAGCATCTGTCACCCATGAAAGGTTAGGATCCATAGCCTTAGAGCTATTTTACTTTATTTGTGCTCTTATTTTAGAACACATAGATTAAATAGAGATAATAATTGTTTAAATAGAGATAATACAATTAGAAGTGCTGTAGGATTTAGATAGATCATCTATCTCATCTTCTGCTTAAACATCAGAAATGTCCTGAGGTCAGATTCCGTACTTATTTTCGGAGAGGTTAACGGGGCCTGCAAGGACTAAACTCATATACAGCAGAAAAGGAACAAACTCAACATCTTCCCCTCCTGCCCTTTGGCACACTTTCCCATTGTTATTTTTATTTTTATTTATTTTATTTATTTATTTGTTTTTTTTGAGACGGAGTCTCACTCAGCCCAGCCTGCACTCACGCCCAGACTGGAGTACAGTGAGGTGATCTCTGCTCACTGCAACCTCCACCTCCTGTTTCAAGTGATTCTCGTGCCTCAGTCTCCCGAGTAGCCGAGATTACAGATACATGCCACCACACCGGGCTAATTTTTGTATTTTAGTAGAGACGGGGTTTCACCATGTTGGCCAGGCTGGTCTCAAACTCCTGACCTCAATCAGTCTGCCCACCTCTGCCTCCCAAAGTACTGGGATTATAGGTGCGAGCCACTGCACCCAGCCCCATTGTTACTTTTACATCTGTGTTACAGTGTTTCAGCAGTAGAGCATACATAGCAGTAGAGAGAAGAGTAGATGAT